CTAAATTGTCTGCCCAACAACGGCGTCGCTGCTGCAGAGCACAGCGGGGTCTGCCGCTGCTGCTGCTGCTGTTGCTGCTGCTACTTGTGTCTCAGAAAGTGCTGCAGCAGCAACAGCAGCGGGATCTATCTGCTGCTGCTGCTGATCAGTTTGCTGCTCCTGCTGCTGTTGCTGCTGCTCCGTTTGCTGCTCCTCCTGCTGTTGCTGTTGCTCCGTTTGCTGCTGCTGCTGCTGTTGCTGTTGCTGCGGTTCTCCTGGGAAGTGCTGCAGCAATTCCTGTGGATCTAGACCTATGAACTGCTGCAGTTGCTGCTGCTGCTGCTGCTGCTGCTGCGCGAGTGCAACAAGGTGCAGCAGCTGCTGCACTCTATTAAAATCACATTCCTGCGACCAATAGCATGCAGCAGATAACTCCTGTGTCTCTGCAGCAGCAGCAAGCTGCTGCAGCAGCAACTCTCCTCCTCCCCCTACACCTAATGCCCAATCAGATAACCTGCATATACACCCCAACGAGCGAGCTAATTGAAATGGTGTCTTATAAGGGTCTGCTGCTGCTGCTGCTGCTGCTGCTGCTGCTGCTGGTGTTGCTGCTGCTGTTGTTGCTGCTGTTTCGCCTTCTGCTGCAGCAGCAGCAGCAGAAGCAGGAAGCGTTCCTGCTTGCTGCAGGAATTCAACAATACGACGAACAAGTGCAGCAGCAGCAGCAGCACAAAGTCCCCTAACAGCAGCAGCAAATGCAGGGGAATCAAGGACATCTCTTGCTTCCTGCAGCAGCTGCTGCACCTCTGCTGCTGCTGCAGCAGGAAGAGCAGCAAAGCTGCTGCTGTCTATACACCCCACCTCTGGCAGCAGCAATGCAGCATAACCCCACATATCTGACGAATAATCATCATACCCATTACCTGCTGCTGCTGCTGCTGTGTCTGCTGCTGCTGTGTCTGCTGCTGCTGTGTCTGCTGCTGCTGTGTCTGCTGCTGCTGTGTCTGTTGTGTCTGCTTCTGTTGTTGCTGAGTCTTCGTCTGCTGCTTCTGTTGCTGCTGACGACATTTCTGGCCCTTCTGGCTGCTGCTGCTGCTGCTGCAGTTGCTGTTGCTGCTGCTGCTGCAGTTGCTGTTGCTGCTGCTGCTGCAGTTGCTGCTGCTGCTGCTGTGCTGCTTCTCTGCATAACCTGTTGCACATCCTATACATTAGCTGCTGCAGCTGCTGCTGCAGCAAATCAGCAGTAAAGGATGCATGCGGCGGGTGCTGCCTAACAAAGACACCAACCTCTATAAGTGCAGCAGCAGCAACACGAGCAGCAACAGCAGCAGAAGCAGCACGACGGGTAGAGGAAAGAAATACAAAGTTCTGCTTGTGCTGCAGTTGCTGCTGCTGCTGCTGTTGCTGTTGCTGCTGCAGTTGTTGCTGCTGTTCTTCCTCCTGCCCTCCATGCTGTTGCTGCTGCTGCTGTTTCTGCTGCTGCTCCTTGTTAAGAAGTGCTGCTGCTAGTAGATTAACTTGTACACGGTGCAGCAGCAGCAGCAGCAGCAGCAGCACGAGGCAGCAAACAGTTCTTGCTACTACATTAGTAGCAAGACACCTAAAACATTCTTCCTTTTGCTGCGGCGTCATGCTGCTGCTGCGCTGCGGCTGTCGCAGCACTCGGGTGTATGCATCAATAGGGAATGCTGCTTCTAGCTGCTGCTGCAGCTGCTGCTGCAGCTGCTGCAGCAGCAGCAGCAAAGAATTATCCGATACAGATTGATTACGTACAAAATGAAAGGCAGCTAACCATTCTGCTTCCGTCACATCCTGCTGCTGCTGCTGCTGCTGCTGCTGCTGCTGACGTAGCTGCTGCAGCTCCTCCTCACTTAGACCTAGCTGCTGCAGCAGCAAAGTTGCTAAATCTCCTTCCTCTGCTTCTAGCAGCGCAGCAAAACGTTTGTGCTGCTTATATATCTTTACTGCAGCAGCACCTGCTGCTGCTGCAGCTGCAGCAGCAACAGCAGCAGCAGCTGTACGATACGGGTGGCGCTTCACAGCGCCCCATATTCGAGACAACATCTCCTGCTGCTGCTGCTGCTGCTGCTGCTGTTGCTGCTGCTGTTGCTGCTGCTGTTGTTGGTGCTGCTGTTGTTGGTGCTGCTGTTGTTGGTGCTGCTGTTGTTGGTGGTGGTGCTGCTGTTGCTGTTGCGCCTGCAGTATCCTGGTGTCTGTCTTCCCCGACACCCGACCTGCTGCTGCTGCTGCTGCTGTTGTTGCTGCTGCAGCAAGAAGCAGCAGGAGTTATGTTTGCTCCTGATAGGAACAACTGAACCCTATAACTTCGCTTCTTGCCACTTGCTGCAGCACTGGTGTCGCCTGCAGCAGCAGCAGCAGCAGCGGCTGCTGCTGCTGCTGCTATTGGTGTTGCTGCTGTTGTTGCAGCTGTACAATGCTTCTTTATGTATTATTGCTGTTAAGTCTACTATGGGGGAATAGAGGAAAAAGAAGACGACTCTTGCAGCAGCAGCAGCAGCAGCAGCTGCTGCTGCTGCTCTTTCCGTTGCAGCGGCGGCAGCGGCGACGGCAGCAGCAGCAGCAGCAGCAGCAGCTGCTGCTGCTGCTGCAGCTATAGAGTTACACCGCCTTTACTAGAAAGGTAATTTCTTATTAATTAATTAGACCTAAGATAGCAAAGAAGATTAGTTATGTGCTGCGTCTCGTCTAAGCAGCAGCAGCAGCAGCAGCAGCAGCAACAGCAGCAGCAGCAGGGGCCCTGCTGCACTTAGGGGCGTTATGTCTTCTATATTAAATAATTAAATATTTAATAAATTTGTGTCTTTGCAACTCACCTCCATCTGCTGCTGCTGTTGCTGCTGTCGGTGCTGCTGTTGCTGCTGCTGCTGCCAGCAAATATCTGTCTGCGCAGCAGCAGCAGCAGCAGCAGCAGCAGCAGCAAGTAAATAAATATAACATATTTATTATTAAATAAGGGTTTGTATAAAATAAAATAAATAAATAAATAAATAAATAAATAAATAAATAAATAAATAAATAATATTTATTATTTAATAAACAATAATTAATAGATGGATAAATAATAAATAAATAAATAAATAAGTAAATAATAAATAAACAAATAAATAAATAAATAATAATTAATAAATAATAACAGCAGCAGCAGCAGCAACAATCATCTCCTCCTTAGCAGCAGCAAGTCCTCTCCGCGTTGCAAACCCTCAATTAGGGTTTAGGGTTTAGGGTTTAGGCATAAACCCTAAACCCTAAACCCTAAACCCTAAGCAACAGTGTTTCTGCTGTAGCATCTTGGGGTGCTAGCTAGCTAGCTAACTAGCTAGCTAGCTAGCCATCTACCTAGCTAGCCATCTACCTAGCTAGCTAGCTAGCTAGCTAGCTAGCTAGCTAATGGATAGGTAGCCAGCTATAGTGTTAGGTAGCTCTGAATGCCGCAACTACAGAGCAGCAACAAGTACATAGCAACAGAAGCAGCAGCAGCAGCAGCAACAGCTGCAACAACAGCAGCAAGAGCAGCAGCAACAGCAGCAGCAGCAGCAGCAGCAGCAGCAGCAGGGAGAAATGCATAAAGTAACAGCCAAGATTAAGGGTTAAGACGTCAGCGTTATCTGCGTAACGGGAAAAAGAGACACAAAGGCAGCAACAGCAGCAGCAGCAGCAGCAGCAGCAAGTGCTGCTGCTGTTGCTGCATTAATTGCTGCTGTCCTGTTAACCCTTTTATTGCCAATATTATAAGAGCCAATTAAACTTCATGGCTAGCTGCTGCTGCTGCTGCTGCTGCTGCTGCTGCTGCTGGGTCTGCTTGTGTTGGTGTTTGTTGTTGTGCTGCTGCTGCCGCAATCTCAGCAGCAGCTGCTGCTGCAGCTGCAGCAGCAGCTGCTGCAGCTGCTGCTGTTGGGAAGGAAGGAGCAGCAACACCTGGTGCTGCAGCAGCAGATTCGCTGCCCTTAATGGAGGACACCTGCCGTTTGCACATCCTAAGAAAACAGCAGCAGCAGCAGCAGCAGCAGCAGCAGCAGCAGCAGCAGCAGCAGCAGCAAGAGAGACATATAGATATAATATATATATATTATGTATATAAAGGGAGAGAAAAGGAAGAAAAAAGAGACAAAAAGAGACAAAAAAGGAGACACATTAATATATACATTTATATACATGTATATATGTTATTTATATATTATACATAATAAATAAATAAATAAATAAATAAATAAATAAATAAATAAATAAATAAATAAATAAATAAATAAATAAACTACTATATAAACAAACAAATAATAAATAAATGAATAAACAAATAAACAAACAAACAAATAAACAAATATATAAATAAATAAATAAAACAAATAAACTAATTAATTAATTAATTAATTAATTAATTAATTAATTAATTAATTAATTAATTAATTAGTTAATTAATTA